CCCCCCCCCCCCCCCCCGACGTCTTTGCTCACCCAGGGAACCGCATCGTGATGGGCAAGAACCACGTGTTCCGCTTCAACCATCCGGAGCAGGCCCGGCTGGAGCGGGAGCGCAGCGTCACGGCCGACCAGCAGGGGGAGCCCGAGGACTGGACATACGCTCAGAGAGAGCTGCTGGAGAAACAAGGCATTGACATCAAACTAGACATGGAGAAGAGGTACCCCGCCTTTTGGCCTTTTGACCCCTGCCACAGCGATGGCTTTGATTGACATCTGACGGAGGGATGATTGACATATTGCAGGCTTCAGGACATGGAGACCCAATACCGCAAGGAAAAAGAGGAGGCTGATCTGCTGCTGGAGCAACAGCGGCTAGTGCGTGCCACTCCATCATCATCATCACCATCATCACCACCATACTTGACTTCTGACCCTCCTTGTGTGTGTGTTTGTGTATGTGTGTACAAAGTATGCGGACAGCGACAGCGGAGATGATTCCGACAAACGCTCGTGCGAGGAAAGCTGGAGACTCATCTCCTCCCTTCGAGAGAAACTACCTGCCAACAAGGTACCAGTCATGTGTGTCACCTCCAGTGATGCCGGGAACGCGTTACTCCAACTCTCCACGTTTTTCAGTCACAACTTATCAAACACATCACTTTCTCCTGTCAAGTAGATAGGCTGCAGTGACTCTTCTAATATCTTAAAGCATTAGTTTGAAGGCTGCATTGATATCAGCCGAGTATGCATTCACGCTTTACGAAAAAGTCCCACCAGATTGTGTGTGTGTTTGGGTGGTTCAGTTTGTGACCAACAGGTGTGCCACTGCAGGAGGAGCCCTACAGTGCCACCTGTTGGTCACAAACAAAATCACCCTAACAGTACCACGACTGCAGAGGGTGCCCAAAGTAATTGTTATACCGTATTTAAAAGCAATGTACATGATAAATGTTAAGTTTTGCCATTACAACATAGTATGTCATGTAAAAAAAGGCTGCCTTGATTTTAGTTTTTATTTTACGTTTTTATTTTTGTGAAGTGAAATCCAGCAAAGAAAAACTAATTATGGTCAGGCAAAAAAGGTTGTCATTTTTAATTTTAATTTTTTTTTTTTTAATAAAAATCATTCTTAAATGTCACTGTGAAAAATGCACTTCCATTTAAGGGGCAAAAAACGGGTGGCATTTTTATGCAAAGCATGGTTGTCTGTATCTGCACAACGTCACGATTACAGTAACTTGTCATTTAACTTTGTTACTTTTATTAATCAGGTAATCAGTTGAATTAACTTTTATGTTTAGGCAGTTTCTTTTGAAGAGAAGTAATTAGTAAGTTCACTGTGGCAATATTGCTCACCCGTCTGTCACTTTTGGCTGACTGTGTGTGTAGCGTGAATGAGAGTTATTTAGTGTGTGAGATTCTGTGTGTGTGTGTGTGTGTGTGTGTGTGTGTGTGTGTGTGTGTGTGTGTGTGTCAGGTGCAGTCCATCGTGAAGCGTTGCGGTCTTCCGAGCAGTGGGAAGAGGAGAGAGCCTCAAAGAGTCTATCAGATTCCTCAGAGGAGGCGGATTAGCAAAGACCCGAAGCGCGTCACCATGGAGGATCTTCGCTTGCAGGCCGTCAAAGAGATCTGCTATGAGGTCGATCTCAATCGCTCGCACAAGCACATATGCGCTGACAGATGGGGAGGAGCTAAGTTTAGCCTGGGTTGTTAGTGGAAGTCACAGAGAACCTTTGATTCTACTCAGGTGGCGCTGGGAGACTTTCGCCACTCCCGCCAGGAGATCGAGGCGCTGGCCATTGTCAAGATGAAGGAGCTTTGCCGCATGTACGCCAAGAAGGACGCCAACGAGAAGGACAGCTGGAAGGCGGTGGCGCAGGACGTGTGCGACACGGTGGGCATCGGGGAGGAGAGGAGCCCCCCCTCGGAGGAGGGAGGTGGAGGAGGAGGAGGTGAGGCCAGCGAAGGGGGAACCGCCTACGACCTGAAGGCTCACATTGACAAGCTAACAGACATCTTGGAGGTGAGATTAGAAGCTTGGCTCTGTCCAACAGTAGATTTGCATATTTGCAGATTTTTTTCTTTCTGTAGTTATTTCACATTTTGGATTGTTCCTAAAATTTTTGAGATCGAGGCAATCACTAAACCAATGTACGTATGTTGCATTTACATTTTACAATTTTAATGAATCACGTTTACGTTCAGTGATATATCAGTTTAACTGGAGTAGTTTGGGGTAATTTAGTTTCAGAAGAAAGACTTCTTTGTCCGCAAGCTGGTTTCACCGAAGTCTGGCACATCTAGGACTTTGTAGTATTAGCCACAAAATTAACCAATTTTATTGGCAAAAAGATGAGTTCATATCCTATGAAATCAGGCTTTGAGTGAAAAAGGGTTACCACATCTTCACCCATCCCATCACAACAATTTGCCACATCCAATATGTCAGCGACGTTGACATGCAATTTGGTGCTTGAGGTCGAGTCATATTTTATGTTTTTGGTCATGTGAACCGATGGCGTGACAGGAGGTGAAGCTGCAGAACAACATGAAGGATGAGGAAATAAAAGCGCTGCGTGACCGAATGATCAAGATGGAGAGCGTCATCCCCGTCAAGGTAGAGGGCGCTACGTCTGATCAGGTAACATGCCGGCAACGGCGCCTCCTTTTGTCGGCGCCAACCCTCTCCGCTCAACGCTGACTTTCTTCATCTCCGGCAGAGCGAGCAGGAGAACAGCGAAGAAGGGGGCGGGACTCCCCAGAAGGAGGACCGGGTGCAGCGTCTCATGGACGAGGATCCGGCTTTCAGGAGAGGGCGCCTCCGCTGGCTGAAGCAGGAACAGCAGAGAATCGTCAACCTACAGCAACAGAACATCAGCAAAAAGCTGCGAGGCCTCAATCAAGGAGAACCCAGTGAGGAGAAGTTGTGATGCCTCGTTCATGTGCCGCTTACTCCATACATTTGTCAGATCGAAAGTCTCCACTGGATTACCATTATTAGTCCTTCCTTATCCACAGAACCCACACATCCCATCTGCATTTCAGGATGTGGTTATGGTATATACTGTAGATTAAATATTGGAAGTTAAATTGATTAACCGGCACTACTATGGGCCAGATCCGCCACATCCAATATGGCGGTCTTGTTGCGGTATCGCAGTAACGGGGCAACCTCCTTAAAGTGACACAACAAGCTGATGTTTTGTTTACAATGCAAAGCACCAGTTGCTTGCAAACGTTTTCGAAAAGCTTTTTTGTTTATGGTCTGACTTCGGCACTGATTGCCCCCCGCAGGTCACAACGTGCACCTCCCCGGGACAGGCCGCTTCATCCCTCCCCAGGACTGCAAGCTCAAGTTCCCCTTCAAGAGCAACCCGGCGCACCGATTCTCCTGGGGACCGGCCAGCGCCGCCCTGCAGGCGCTGGGTTTGGGAGAAGGGGAGGTTCCGGGGGAGGGCAGGGGAGGAGCCGAGGGAGGTGGGGTTGAGGGGACCCCCACCCTTCCTTTCCAGGCCCCGCCCCCACGCATGCGCAGCCCTAGCCCGCAACGTGCCTGGCAACAGCGAAACCACGGCAACCACCGGCAGCAGCGCTACCGCCGAAACTCATTTGACGGCTCCGCACCCGGCAACGGTAACCATGGCGGCGGTGAGCAGCACCAAAGGGGCGGGGGTCACCAAGGAAGACCAAGACAGAGGAGGGGCCCATCACCCGGGCCGGGTGGACAACGGGGGGGAGGCGACGCAGGTTTCCATTACAACAAACATCCTGCCCCTCCTCCTCACCATCATCATCAGCAGCAGCAACATCCGCATCTTCATCATCCGTACTACAACGCCCACAATGCACCATTCCCGAACTACCACGCTGCCCCTCCTCTTCCCGCCCAAATCCTCCTGGGCCCGCCCTTGGCCGGGTGGGGCTTCACCACGCCGCCGCCGCGCATGAGACGACAGTTCAGTGAGCCGGACCTCAACAACCAGCAAACCCCCTCTGACCTCTGAACTCTGAGCCCGGATTCGCTACTCCCAACATGCTGTATGCAGTAAAACCCCCGCAATTCACCGGCCGTGGGGACCAGCGGCCCTGTCACAAATCGTGAAAAACCGCAAGCCATTGACTCTCCCGCGTTAAAAGGTTTACAACTGCCTAGTTTCAAAGTTTAAACCACAAACAAAGATCCAAAAACACTAACAGATACACACATCCAGATGATTTGATTTCAGGAGAGCAAAAGTGTATACATACTATTTTTTTTAAAAAATCGGAACATCAGATGAACTTACGTCTCATATTTTAGATTTAACCTCTGTAAATAATTCATTTGGCGCAAAGCATGTAATTTCTTAAGATGAAACAAACCATTTAGTTGCAAGTGGTGGCTAGTTACAAAATTTGCTTCACACTTTAGAGGTTGAGAGTTGAAATCCGAGCTCTGGCCTTCGTGTGTGGCGTGTGCATGTTCACCTTGCGCTGGCTGGGATTTGCTTCTGGTCCTGCAGTTTCTCCCCGCACTCCAAATATGTGCGTGTTAGGTTCATTAAAGACTCGGAATTATCCTTAGGTGCAAATATGAGTTTGTTCCAATCTTCAAAATTGTTTACATAGGAAGTAAAAACTTTCAGGTTCACCCTAAAATATTATTTGTGTTAGCCCTTTCATGCACCCTGTAACCTGATTACATGATAAGCTGTCCACTATAGTAACCGCTGCCCCTGAAAGCGTTAAGTTATAAATCCAACTAGATTTTTTAAATTTCAGACCACTTGAATGATTGGTTTGCTTCGCTTTTAAGAAATAAGTAAGAATGAAGTTGAAAATGTCCATTTGTGCTAAATTAATTACATGAGTTAAAGCTAAAATATGAGATGTGATAGATTAGTTACATTTTTTTTCGGTTCACAACCCTCGAACTTCCGCTAACCACCCGGGCTAAACTTAGCTCTGCCCCCACACACGAAAATCTTAATAGAATTCCTTGACAGCAATGACTACTTTGCTATTATCCAGGGCTTTGGTGCCATCTTAGTGACACAAAAGACCGAAAGCTGCAGTTCGGAGAATTTGACCACAAATAATGGAGGAGACGCTCCTCGAAAAATATAAGCGAAAAGGTGAATTTCTGAAAGGCCAGCCGCTAATATGCGGGGGATTACTGGTGTGTGTGAATGTGTGTGTGTCTGAGTGTGTGTGTGTGTGTGTGTGTCTGTGTGTGTGTGTATACACTGTTGCCATGTAAACAGGTCATATGTGTGGAAGCTGGTTTTTTTGACTTGATGGTGGTCATGTGATCACGTCAGCTCCTGCGGCTTACTGCTGTTAGCTTGTTGTAGTTGTTGTTTTTCGTAGATTTTTTTTTTTTTTTTCGCCCAGGAGGTTAGATGTATTGTCATGCTAAGGCTATATAGCGTAGCATCGGGAAAGCGTTTGAACACACCGACAACATTGTGTACAATGATGAAGACAAACGATGCTATGTACAGAATGGCTTCCAAAGTTAGCAGGTTAGCTGCCTGCTAATCACTCGAACCAAAGATGCTGACGCGGTTTATGTGTACTTTGAAATGGACTGCAGGAAATGGAATCAGTCAGGACGATTACTGGAATGCGAAAGTGAAGGATGTGGAGTTTTGGGAGAATATTCGACAAAGCTCATGGAATCATATTTTGGGAGTTTTTTTGGGGAAGGAGCTGGAAGTGATGAAGGTGCAGTCGTAGATTTTTTTTTCTCCATTTTTCTTTTTTGAGATGTTTTTTTTTTTTCGCCCCACTCATGTTAGCCAATTGAGGGATCTACAAGCGCCCTGTCCCCGCTGAGCATGATGGGAAATGATGACCATGCCTTTAGTGTAACCCCCCCCCCACCTGTGTGTGCTTTCTAACCTCATCCTCACTCATATTATTATTCATTTGATTATTATTATAATTATTATCAGGATGCGTTTTCAAGCGGGGGATTCTCTTGGGTGCTGTTTATTAGTGTGTATGAGAACTTGGCGTGTGCGCGCGTGAGTTTCGGATCACAAAGTGAAGGTTGTTTGGCTTCTATAAAAGCTTCGGCTTTGTCATTGTCTCGGAACTTTTATTTTGCGGTCTTGAACGCCCACGCCTCAAAAGACTGGACCCCAATAAAGACTACAGCATCACAACTTCATTGCGTGTGTTTTTTGTGTCACGTTATTTCAAAACGTTGGCATCCTGCGACTTTATGATTCCTCTTGATATGTTCGACATCCTGATTCCTAAATAAATGAACGACTTGTTTACTGAGTTGATAAACTTGAATTCGTTGGAACACGCAGAAATATATTTTTTGGTGTGAATGCGGAACATGTGGTTTTATATGTTCTGTTATGCCCTGATAAATAGTATTCTTTCTCCCGACAATAAAAATGCTCAAAAATGATACAAGCGGATGATCATATTCACATTGTCATTCAAACATTTCATGTCAAGGGGAGTGTGGCTGGAAATTTGCATCGATCACTAACTTGGAACGTTAAAAAACAAAAAACATTTCCATCTTAAAGTAATAACTCCGCAATATTTCAGTTCACACTTCACATGCAATTCCCTCACCAGGATGACGTGTTATCAGGCGACACACTTCCTGAGTGAGCGGCTGTCAATCAAAACACACACACACACACACAAACGTGCAGACATACATAAAGTGCTCTTCATTCGCATCGCTTTCACATCGCCTTCAGCATGAAGTTCTTCTTCTTCTTCGTTGTCCTCCTCTGTGTCAGCGTCCCGGCGGTTACAGCCGCGGACGGCTGCCATAGTGACCGGGATACGGACCACCGAGTGCGGCTTAACTGCACGGCGGCCGGTCTTGATGGCGTTTCTGTGGGCCTCGAACCCACGATCGAGGTAACTGCGCCGTGGCTTCTGGTAAAGTAAGGCACAATTTGGATTTTACGTGCATAAGGTCCAGATTTTTTTCATCTTATCGATGCAAGTGACATATTGCATTATTTTCCACGGCAGTCCTGAAAATTTCTCATGGCGCTTATGCGTACAGTCTACTTGACGTTTGTATTTGATGCCTTGCCATGAGATGATTCTCATGGGAAATATGCACTTTTTGCTTAAAAAAGTTACAAAACTGTTTCAGGTGTTGTCGAAATCTTAACTGTATTCCTGTTCCCTGTCCGTCGTTGTCCCATGAATGTCAAGAAATATATCTACTTTGGTGCAAACACGATGCCGATTGTCAGATGGTCGCCTTTGAGTGACACATCGCGGACGAGCGCGGACTTCCTGCTTCCTGTTTGACAGTTTCATCTCTTCCCTCGTGAGGTTCTCTTGTTTCCCAGGAACCAGTTCTCCAGCCTGTCCTGGGCATCCTTCCAGATTTTCAGCAAGCTGCACGAGCTGGACCTGACGGCCAACGAGGTAACCGGGAGTCGCGCGACAGGTCACGCAGGCCCGACCACCTTGGGCTAAATCCCACCTCGCTGTCCCTCTCAGGTGGGTGAGTTGACGGCAAGCGACACGCCGCTTCTGCCGAGCCTCAGCGTCCTCCGACTGGGATCCAATCATCTCACGTCTTTAGTCAGCGGGGCCTTCTCCGCCTGCCCCGCCCTGACAAATCTCTACCTGGACAACAACACCATTGAATCTCTGAGCCACGGCGCGTTCGCTGGACTCAGCAAGTTAGAGGTCAGGTGTCAGCGTGATTGATCGACTTTGGCCGAGATTTTTTCTTGTCATACAAACAATAATGTGAAAATGATTTTGCTTTTGTTTCCATGTCCCTTACGCGTCCTCCCTTTCAGATTCTAGACCTGACGTCCAATCGCATCAGGGTGCTCCCGCCCCTCTTACTCCGTCCCCTGGTTGCCATAGAAACACTCTACCTGGAAAACAACCAGGTGGGAGACGAGAAACGAAATTATCGTGAAGGACGCCCGAGAGACCTTCACTTTCTTCGTTTCCTCCTCAGATCAGCACGCTGCCAGATGATTGGTTTAACCCGAGAGAGGACGTGCCCTACCTGTACCTCTCCGCCAACCCATGGTCGTGTGACTGCGGCCTGACGTACCTGCGCATGTACTTGGAGGATTTCTATTTCAACTTCTACGTGCGCAACGGCCAGACCATCCGGAGAGATGTTAAGAGTGTGGTTAGTTGTCGCGCGCGCCAAACAAACCACTGGAGACATTTTACACCCTTACCTTCGTACCCTTCCCTTGTACATTTCTTAGACTGTTGCACTGGACTGATCGTCAGTCGATTAATCACGCCTGGAGTGTAAATTTACAAGGATAACATCATAGAAAAGTGGAGGCTCTTGCTACATTACCGTAGAAACAAAGCTAACCCAATCGTCCACATATCAAAATAACGTGTGAAAGGATGAAGGTTTTTATAGTCCCGTAGAAGGTTTGATGCTGTACTACAGCATGTAACGTTACATAAAACAGCTTCATTTGTAACCTCTAAAAATATGTAAAATAAAGAACCCAATCTTTATCACCTAATATAGATCAATTGAAAATTATATGATCGAATCGGGACAACACTACTTACAACCATCCCAATTTAAAACTATTCCGTTTTTTTTTCAGGAAGTAGACCACCAAATTTGCACCTTTTCACAACAACATAGCCAAACAAAGTCATATTTTGTATATTTACCCCCACCCGGCCGGCCCGGGAGTCCAGTGGTTAGCGCTTTGACCTCACAGTGCACAGTGCAGAGGTTGTGGGCTTGCATGTTCTCGCTCGGCCTGCGTGGGTTTTCTCCGGGTGCTCCGGTTTCCTCACACATTCCAAAAACATGCATGGCAGGCTGATTGAACACTCAAAATTGTCCCTAGCTGTGAGTGTGAGCGCGGCTGTTTTTTTTTCTCTGTGTGCCCTGCGATTGGCTGGCAACCGGTTCAGGGTGTCCCCCGCCTCCTGCCCGTAGACGGCTGGGATTGGCTCCAGCACCCCCCGCAACCCTTGTGAGGATAAAGCGAATAGGAAAATGGATGGATGGATGGATTACCTCCACCCCTTGCACAGCTATGCAATTCATTGCAAAGCATTTCTGTCTGCATTCAATTTCGGGAAGAAATGTTCTTCCGTAGTTTGATCCGTAGTTGCACTTTGTGCCATGTGTAATAATGCAAGGTTGGGTGAGTTCCTTTCAAAGTCACGCCCAACTCTGGCTTTGCAGGTGTGCCACTCGCCTCAGCGATTCAAAGGTCAACCCGTCATCGATCTGGACCCGGAGGACTTCTGTCTGCCTTCTCCGACGCCACTGACCACCTCCTTATTGATAGGCCCCACCAATCCAGAGGAGGAGAGTGCGGGTCCCAGAGGTGACGGGCTTGTTGTCTGGCAGCCTACACGGACCACTTCCAGCACTTCATATCCTGAACGTTCCGGCACCACGACCGCGCTACCGCGCCCTATGATTCCAACTGCCTCACTTCCTACAGCTGAGTCACTTCCTACAACTGCGCCACTTCTTACAACTGCGTCATTTCCTACAACTGCGCCACTTCCTACAACTGCGCCACTTCTTACAACTGCGTCACTTCTTACAACTGCGTCACTTCCTACAACTGAGTCACTTCCTACAACTGAGTCACTTCCTACAACTGAGTCATTTCCTACAACAGAGTCACTTCCTACAACAGAGTCACTTCCTACAACTCCAACTGCATCCCTTCCCGCCACTCTCCCAGTTGTAACGCCCACCAGCTCTGAGATCCCGTGGACGTGGCATTGGGCGAGGGATGAGGGTGCCGCCATTCCCCTCCGCGGAAGGCCCAGTGCCGGTGTATTTTGTGTGTGGTTATTGGCCGGTTATGGATGTCTCTGTGCGATGGGGGCGGTGAGTTCGCTCATAACTATAGTTAGACTGGTGGTCTTGTACAGGGGGGCGTACAAGCCACTGAGGGTCGCACTGGCGAGTGCGGGCGGCACCCAGCAGGTGAGGCTCTGTGGCGGCGCGACACAGGTGTATCGTTCGGTCCTTTTCGTGAGCTGCAAAGAGGAGGAGACGGTCCAAGCCGGCCCGGTGTATAGGACGACCCTGCACCGTGCGCCCGGGACTCAGGTAGCGCTGCAGCAATGGAGTGATGTCGTGGGAAGGCGTCAGGATGGCGCAGGGTGGAGGCAGCGCTTCAGCGTGCTTCTGCGCCAGGAGAGGGAGGGGCCGGACGGTGGGAGAGAGGAGCGAGATTGGGTGGTGGGTTCGTGGCTCGCGCAACACCTGCCCGAATGTGAGTGAGTGTCAGTCCTCCCACTCACTTCCTCCCTTTATTTTCTGTTTTCAATCATGCTCATGATAATTTCATTCAATGTTCATACAACATGCACCTTTAAAATTAGGACAAATGAAATGAATCAAATTATATGGCGCAAATCAAAAACTATATGACAGCTTCTACCAGCGTCTTATTCATCGGGATGCAAATGAACATGAGAACCTTCTTTAGCTGACTATTCTGAGACGATTCCAGTCGGCCTCAAAAGTATGAAAAACTTTTTGAGTCAAATTTCACCAAGAGATGATGCAAATGAAAACACAAAAATCCCATTCCAATCGGTCAGCAAGTGAAAATGCTTTTGATGACAATTAGTGCATGCAAGGCGGATGATATATATATATATTTTTTTTTTTTAATTCAATTTCTTGTTGTAGGTCAACTCGTGAAAAATGGAAACAATGCAATCAAATTTGATATAGCCAAGATGACTCTGATAACCACCAAATCTCCAGATGCGTACTATTTATTATTAAATGGGTGATTTTAATAAAACAATTTAAAAAATATATTTCAAGGGTTAAAATTCTGAAATTGATTTGAGAATAAGGATGGATGACGATTTATATTATTTCTGGACATTCGGCAGACATTTCAGACGTTGCCACCAACTAGTACGCCAGCAAGCACGGCTGACATTAGTCGTTGGGTCTCAAGATTAATTAAATAAAACTGAATACATTAATTGAAAATGAGTCACGTGAAGACCATCAATTACTACAATACAATACATATTTATTTATATCGCGCTTTCACAACAGCTTCAGCTGTAACAAAGCACTTTACAGAACAGTTGACATAAAATAACAAAATAATATAACACAACACATAATACACGGACAGTCATGCAATCTTAACCACTTTCCCTGCATACGCGTTGTTGTTTGAAGCAGTTATAGATGAAAGAGGAGAGAATTACTATCTCGTTCCTGATGTGGAGGAGAGTGCGGTTGTTAATACAGTACTGTAGTTAAACTACAGTCGGAGTCTTTTTTTCTTGATATTTCATGCAGTGTTCTGATTGCCGCGTGGGACCGTGCTGCCCCCCACAGGTTAGTGTTGGTACTACGACGGACATCGTTGTCCATTTGGTGCGCTTCGCGGTATACATTCGAAACGCAGTAAAAACATACACGGGCACTTTTTTCCCTCGTCATGCGAGGGGTTTGTCCCATTTTAAAAAGTCACTTTTAATGTTCAAAATTGGGCTGTACCAAACGGCGATAAACAAACAAAAACCACAGGCTAGTCTGAGCTCGCAACAGTGACGTCAGTGCGCGGCCATTGGGTGAGCGGGCGGCTCCAACAAATTAGAGTGGGAAAAAAAAAAGGGAGAGAGATCGCAACAACAACAAGGACGACGACAACCCAGACCAAGACGACGACAGCTGCTCGATTGAGGGCCGCCGCAAAAGCCACATTTCAACTTTGGGCTCAGTCGCCTCTTCGCCAACCAGGAAACCGGTGAGGAAAAACCCCGCGCGGGCTTGTTTGGCTTCTTGCGAGTCGGCCCGCGGCAGCTTCCGCCCAGTCGCAACTTTCTTTTGTTCACTCCAAGAGAACGAGTCGGCGTTTAGGGCGCGTTTTCTGTCGATAAAACGCGTAACGACACATTTCGAGGTGCTCCTGATTGTCAGAACAACCTTCGGACCGGCTGGTCGAGAGCAGCTGTTGGGACTCTTGCTGTTGTTGTTGCCACTTTACAACTGCGTTCTTACCCCGAGCCAAACTCGCTCTCTCTCTCTCTTTTTGTTGGACTTATTCCCCAGATGTCACAATGGCCGCAAACTTCAGCATATCCGACAGCGAGTCCGAGCCCTCTGAGGAGGTAGAAGAAGGGGACGACGGCCAAGGAGCCGCTGAAAAAGAGCAGGAGCAGTGCCTCCGCCAAGGCCTCCGCCTCACCTTGCCGGAGCTCCCAATGGAAGGTGGGCCAACACGCCATTACACTTGAGGTGCCACCCTCAACATTATTTAGTTGCCCGGCTTCTCCTGGTTTTCATTCATGTCATTGGTCCTGAAGACAAGCCCGTTCATTCAAAGTCGGCCCAAAGCAAAACGTGTTTTTTTTTAATCATCCAGAAACCTACTCTTAACTTTTTGCATCAGTCTTCAAGAGAGCCTTGCGATGGCTTTACACAACACTCACATGTTCAAAGTCAGGTACAAACTTCTAACAAGTGCCCAGGGCTCAACCAACTGAAAATAGCTCAGCAGTGATGGGAAATTGTGATTTCCCCAGGAATGTTGTCGACGTGATCGTCTGAACGAATGCACGCGCTTGCAGAGACGTACAGAAGTGTTGGATGTTGATCGTTATCTGTTGCCTGCCACGGTGAATCTTTGGTGATATTGTTTGTGAGCGATCACTAGCATGATGTCCTCACATGAATATCAATAATTATGAATAACAAAGTTAATTTGCGATAATAACATTTTAGAATCCTGGACAAAATGTAACTTCAACTATTTATTAAGGCCTTTTGACTGTTAATTCTTTGCCCGAAGCCGGTTCTGATCCAAAGCGATATCAGTTGCCGCAAAGCGACCCGAGGACAGCGTTCATAAAGCGCCATTGGTGCCTACGCCCGTCTCTGACCTTTCGTGTACCCCTATCTAGCAATGTCGGGGCGGATCCGGCTCAACTCGGAGTCCCACGCTTTGGCAGTGTCCCGAGAGGAGGAGTTCCAGGCCAGGGTGGACGAGGAGGTCGGCACACCCACCGACGGGGCGCCGTTCCGGGGGCGCTCCAAGTCGGCTCCCCCCGTGCTATGGGCTGCGAAAAAGTACGGACGGCAGCTGCGGCGCATGAGCGACGAGTTCGATAGCCTGATGGACAAAGGGGTGAGAAGCGGCGGGGGGGCGGGTCATTAAATTGTAGCTTGGGGGCTTGTGTTTTTCAACAACAGAGGTTTTTTTTTTTTTCCTCTCAAATAGAGAGAGAGGATTTATACATTTTTTTTCCAGAGGAAAAAGCTTCTAATATCCAAATCACATTTTTGAATTTCAAGTCATACAACGCTTTGGAAAAAGTATGAGCTCTCACGCCTTCATGTTTCCCTTACAGTTTCATTTGACCTTCTCTACATGTTTATATTAATCCGAATACCATGTTTAGACTAGTGAGGGCGCCTAGAACATATTACTGTAAAGAACATTGTTGACTTGACCCCGCCTTGAATAGAATTACATTTTTTAAAGATTAAATACAAATGTTATGTACTTAAAAGTTAAATACAACTGAACTGTAATTCGGCAGTTCCTCTTTTGCACACCGTCCTTCCATCCATTTTCCGATCCGCTTATCCTCACAAGGGTCACGGGGGGTGCTGGAGCATATCCCAGCTGTCTTTGGGCAGTAGGCGGGGGACACCCTGAACCGGTTGCCAGCCAATCGCAGGGCACTCACAGACGAACAATCCTGCGCGCTCACGCTCGCACGTAGGGACCATTTTTGAGAGCGTTCAATCAGCCTGTCATGCCATGTTTTTGGAATGTGGGAGGAAACCGGAGTACCCGGAGAAAACCCACGCAGAACATGCAAACTCCACACAGGGAGGCCACAGCTAGAATTGAACCCGGTACCTCTGCACTGTGAGGTCGACGCGCTAACCACTGGACCACCCTCTTTTCCACACCTCTAAAGAAACGGGTATTAGTTATGGTCATGTTGCAACTTTTTTTTTTTTTTTTTCTGGAAAAGAGGTCACATTTTAGTTAGTCTGATTTTGGATTCTGAGAGGAAAACGTCCAGTTGTTGACTTCAACCCCTCATGGAATATCGCAGAGAAATGATGCACTTTTAACTTGTTGTGCAACTTTCTGGGTGCAGGAGTTGAAGTTCAAGAGCGCCGGCGGCACATCCAGGGCCATCCACCACTCCAAAACCTGGTGGAGCTACCTCTTCAGCCACCAGGAGACGGAGGGCGAGAACAACAACAACAACCACCACGACAACCATGCTAATCGTACTGAATAGCCTCTGACTGAGACTACGGAGAGGATGGAGGACTTGGGGGTTGGGGGGCAGGGCGGCGTCCTCCTCCGCTGGACTTTTGGTCTGGATTCTTTGAAGAGACGCAGTGATGCGGACTCAGGTGTCTTTTCTTCAACTACTTTACATCCAATTTTTGGCGATCTATTGTTGTAAACCGGGCAACCGGTGTATTTAACGCACGTGGTCCTTCCCACGCGACTCGCTCGTCTCGCGCCAACACTATGCAAACATACTGTAGACGGACAGGGCAGGTCGGTGAAAAACAAACAAGCGTTCCAGACAGCGCACCTGAAATCGGGCCGGTCCAACTCGTACCCTTTGCGCTGACGTGACTCAACAATCGGCGTCCTCGGATGCCGTGCAAAAACTTTTTTTTTTGGTCATTCCAGCAAAGGCCATGCCAGCGGCCTGACGCTTTTTGCCCGCTGCCGTGTGAAAATCAGTCAAGGAAAGAACAATCTTGTACACAGACAATCTCAATCCAATCTTTGGTCAAATGTCAGGGTTACGGAGAGGAAGTGACTTTTGAAAGCACAAATTCATAGGAGATGTTTTAAAAGATTTCTAACAGTGTAAATATTCTCGTGGCGTGGCGGCGATCGGAGCGTCTCGTGGTGTCGTCATGTCCTGTTTCACAATGTGTTTGCCTTCCATGACGTCGCGTTTGGTGTCACCGGAATGCGGTTGCGCGTGACTTTGAAGTGTTGGCGGGGACGCGCTCCCGTTTTGGCTCGCATCGTCGTATGTATGCTCTTCACGTGGCTTAACACTGGATCGATACACGTTTTTTTTTTTTTTTTTTGTTTTTACGGCCACTTGAAAATTGAGCTTGACCTCTCTGTGATCATTAAAATATGATAATCGGTGCGCTTGTTCCGTCTTTGGATGCTTTTATTGTAGATTCTCCAAATGGAAATTCAGACAATCTAACTGCCCACTTTATTATTATTATCATCATTATTATTTTTTGGACATCCAACCACGTGTTTAATTCAATCTTATCATCCCAGTTGTGTGATTATGAATAGACTGAAAATGATATCTAACCCCTCCAAGACCTTGTTAAAAGTTCTGGTTTTTAAATGTTGATTTATGATTATCATTATAATTTTTTTTATTAAGGAGTGATGCAACCATTACGTATGAAATGTTTCGGGAAAACAAGTGTTGAAAGAACTGCTGTCGGGGCAACCCTGTGGACCTGCGTTAAGCGTGCGCGCACGCTGCCGAACATCATCAACTGAATCTTGTCAAATGCCTTCAACTTGTGAACGCGACGCTGCGCGGTACCGCCTTAAACTTCAACACATGATGACGCCCAAGCCACACTTAAAAAAAAAAAAAAAAAAAGGATGAAACTTGGGCACGTGCAGTTTTGAATCGGTATTACTTGAATCTATGTGGAGAATATTTGAATTGTGCTTTTTTTTGGGAGGGGGAGATTTGTACATGCATTTTCTCTACAGCTGTGAAACTTCTTATCGTAGATGCTGTCCTGAATAAACAATACTTAGGACAAAAAAAAGTGACTTTTTTGGTTATATAAGAGATTCATATATGAGTCTGAACATTCACACCCTCAATTCAAATATTTGTTCCATGAAACTGTTCATTTCATGTGAAGTGTCTTTATTTTCCTTGATTGCAGTGCTGCTGTTGTCCAATCAGAGTTCAGCCTTTGCACGTTTCCGGGGCCAATCTAATCTGCACCGGGCCTTCACATCACTAGCAGAAAATGTTGGACCACCTAACTTGGGCCTCGGGGGCAGTTTCTTGCATCAATCATATTTCAGTTCAACTTCATTTCCGGGCCCTGATGACATCATCATTTTCCTGTCCTCTGATTGGTTGGTCGGAGTAAAACTTGTTCCAGGCAAGCTGGACGAGCAAATCTGTGGCGATATGCACATACGTTTGATCTTCAGCATCTCAGGTGAATATTCTGTATTTCATTCAAAGGGTTTATGTTTTTTTTTTGGTCATTTCAGATGATGCACAAGGCAGAGCTGCGCGTCGTTAATACTGCCTGTTGGTGTCGTATCGATGGCTTCTGATTGTAATTGTGATGTGATAGTGTTGCTGTTACAAGGGTAAGTTAAGTCTCCACTTTGAACCCGTCACTGGCAGTTGCCATCAAACTACTTGGGAGGGATTCCAGCAGAACCTCTGTCCTCGATTCAAAGCCGACAGTTTGCCCATGTCGCCGTCGCTCAGCGTGAAGTCAAAAATCCTGCAGTTCTCCCGAATCCGCTCCGGGTTGGACGACTTGGGGAGCACGGGGACGTCCTGCTGCACCGCCCAGCGCAGCAGCACCTGAAGGGAACAGAAAACACATCAAAAACTGGGGTCAGCAACTTCTTTTTTTAAAGTGAGAGCAACTTCTTGGCTAGTGATACTGTAATTGTGAAGGGCTACCAGTTACATACACGCTTCTGAAATAACACCTTGGCTGAAGTTACCTTTAATTACCGGTATATATTATTAACCCTTCCGTGCAGCAATAATGATAACATGAGAAGCTGTCCACTGTGGTGACCACTGTCCCTCCATCCATCCATTGTCCGATCCACTTATCCTCACAAGGGTCGCGGGGGGTGCTGGAGCCTATCCCAGCCGTCTTCGGGCAGTAGGCGGGGGTCACCCTGAACCGGTTGCCAGCCAATCACAGGGCATACAGAGACGAACAACCATCCACCCTCACACCCACACCTAGGGACAATTTCGAGTGTTCAATTACCCTGCCATGCATGTTTTTGGAATGTGGGAGGAAACCGAAGTACCCGGAGAAAACCCACGCAGGCCCGGGGAGAACATACAAACTCCAAACAGGAGGGCTTGGAGCCGGGATTGAACCCACGACTTCTGCACTGTGAGGTCGAGGCGCGGACCACCGGACCACCCTTCTTGGTACAGTAATGTGATTTTTAAGATTAAAACCTCAGCTTTTGTATTTTTATGACTATATTTTCATGTTGCCCACTATGAAGGTATATGATCACATTCAAAGGAAATCACAATGTCCCGTCACTAGTGAGCTAGGTTATAGTGCAATTTTTGGGTTCATCCTGAAATGTCACCAAAAACCAAATTCCCCTACGTTTTTGGGAGAGGTTTAAATGTTAGTGTTTTTTTTTTTTTTTTCTCAATAAAGAAAAGCCATATTTGCAAATGAGCCGTTTACCTGAGCAGGCGTGCGCTGGCAGGACTCGGCCACTTGGAGCACTTGCGGTTCTGTAAGGAGCTCCCCCCTCCCCAGGGAACTGTAGGCCTGGAAGCACACGCCGAACTCCTGGCACACGCGCCTCAGCTCAGCCTGGCATTCAAATGGGTGGAACTCCACCTGAAGGGGGCGGGGGGGGGGGAGTCAATGTCAAGACACAAATGCGGTGGTCGATATAGACAATGGACATCCTTCTCCATACCTGCAGCACCGCGGGCCGGACCTTACAGCTGCCCATGAGCTCTCTCATGTGTGACGGCGTGTAGTTGGACACCCCGATGGCCTTGAGTTTCCCTCGGGCGTGCAGTTCCTCCAGCGCGGCCCAACTCTGAGCTCTGTTGCCTGCTGGCACCACCTTCATTAGCGCCACGTCTTGAGAACAACTGAAGAGAAAGTCTGACACAAATCCATCTATACGTGCCTGGGTTGCGCTGGTCAGTCACATCCAGGCCGCGAGTCCCGGGCCAGTGGATCAGGTAGAGGTCGATGTAATCCATCCCAAGGTTGGACAGGCTGTGGAGGGCTCCTTCCATAGCCCCTTCTCCTTGATCTTTGGGGCCCAGTTTACTGCAGGGAGCAGAAAGAATGCGTCATCAACATTTGCCAGTCCGGTGGGACTTTGAGGTATTCAAACTACTCATACTCAGATACTTTTGTCAAAAACAAAAAGAAGACTCTTGAAACTGGCAAATGGAGACTTGCAGAATCAACTCCTTAACTTAGAGCGGATATCAAGTCTACACACCCCGCGGTTCACATCATGGGAAATAAACAAATGGAAGCCAGATAAATCATGCTGTGATAACTCAATCGCTCCATCCATTTTCTGATCCGTTTTTAAGGGTCGCGGAGCACGCTGAAGCCTATCCCAGCCGTTTTCAGGCAGTAGCCGGGGGACACCCTGAACTGGTTGCCAGCCAATCACAGGCCACACAGAGACGAACAACTGTGAGGTCGACGCGCTAACCACTCGACCACCAGGCTACCCGTAATTACTTTATGCCTTCGAAATTCTTTTGTAGCCTACTCATGACGAATGATCAATAACTGGTACTGCGTTGTTTTGTAAATAAGTGAATTGCAACTGTTGGTTAAATTGCACAAGAAGTGACTCCAGCTTGTCTGCTGCTCAAGAACAAATACAAAAGGTGTGAAGCTGACTTGTTTCAGGTATTGTCAATCAGAACATTTTCATTTTTTTCTAGAATAGCAGCGGGTCTTGTGCTGTAAGATGTGACCACAAAAAATGTCGAGAAAAGCCTACCGGAACATCTGAACTTTATTTGAGGTTATCAGAGGCACTTTAAATGGTGGCAAGTGTGTGCTGACTCTCATTGAACATGAGTTTGAATGTGACTGGAACACATTCACATTTCCAATTATAAGAGGGTGTGAACACTTGTTTGCAACACGCACACGCCCACACACACACACACACACACTCAAACACACCTGGTGATGAATACATCCTCTCTGGTCAGGTCGTATTTTGGCAGGAGACTTTTGAGGGCGCGACCCAGGTCGGCTTCATTCCCGTACACGGCGGCGCTGTCGAAGGCCCGGTAGCCCGCGGCCAGGGACGCGTCCACAGCTTGGAGCACGTCCTCCCAACCCCACAATTTGTACATGCCCAAACCCAAAAGGGGCATTCTAACCCCATTGTTGAGGAGGACGGATGGTGCAGTGGAGGCTGAGGAGGACATCTTTGTCTGTGGAGCTAATGTTCTGCAGGCAAGGAGGAGAGTTATGCCAGGAATTTATGAAAGTCTCACTGTGTGCACTGACTGACCGAGTGAGGCGATGGCCCACTCGTCTCATGACAAAACTCTGTAACAAGTGGAGCTGTGTAGTAAGCCGCCACATTAACACTGCCTTTCACAATAAGCATTCTTACATAAATCCATAACACAAAAGAACAAGCTCCCGTCAAATTCGAGAACCTTCTCTGACGAAACATATCAAATGAGCTTGCGAAATCAAATCTATCAGTATTGACTTCATCCATTAATTTCCAACACCGCTTATCCTGAGCAGGGTCGCAGGGAGTCGCTGGAGCCTATCCCAGCTGACTTCAGGCGGAAGGCAGACTACACCCTGAACTGATCTGCAGTCAGTCGCAGGGCACGTACAGAGACAAACAACCATTCACACCCACATACACGACCATCAGCGACTCAATATTGATTTCTTTTAACTATTTTTACATCTTTTAACTATTTTTACATTCTACTTTTTCACTCCAATACACGTTTAACTAAGATCCATAAACTTCAGTTCTAGTGAGAGTAGTGATAAAGAGGAGGGAGCCTGGTGCAGCACATTACTCAAGTAAATGTACTGTACTTGGTTACTCTATCCACCACTGACAGTGACACGAACCGCTTGTCCAGCACTCTATAGACGTCACATTGATGTGTTAGTGAAACGTTATCTCACCTGTCCAGGCCTTTCTGCTGCGTTCTTTGTTATAAAAGGCTGCAAGGAGGAAGTAAGAGGAAGAAAAGAAAGTTGGAGCCGATAAACATGCACTGGGCAAGGGTTGGCTCAATCATAGACGCTCGTAGTTTATCTAGGTGCGACTTCAAAATATACGTCGGCATTGCCGCCATATTGGATGTGTCAAAAAGGAGCGAGGAGTGTCGAAGCACCTCCATTTTAGGTGCTTACAAGGTTTTGTATTTTTGTAATGTTTGTACGAGTATTAATTTACACCTATCAACATATGTAACATTGTTGCCGTGATGGTAAATATTGAAAGAGAAATAGAAAAATAAGTTTTTTTTCATCAAATTAAAAGTGGCAAACGTTATTTTAGTACTCATATTTCTAAAATACAGCTACCGTAGTATGTGTGCGTGCGTGTGCGTGTGCGTGTGCGTGTGTGCGTGTGCGTGTGCTTGCGTATGCACGAGTGGCTGAGTGACAGCCACGAGTTGTGTACTTTCTGTCTTGTAACAGTTCCCGGGAATAATCACGGAAATCAAATCACACAGGTTAATGGAACACTAAATTGTCCCTCGGCGTGAGTGTGAGCGCGAATGGTCGTTTGTCTACGTGTGCCCTGCGATTGGCTGGCAACCAGTTCAGGGTGTACGCGGCCTACTGCCCCAAGACCCTTGTGGGGAAAAGCAGATCAGAAAAGGGATGGATGGATTCAATTCAAATAAATCTAACACTGTTGATTGTAATACAGATTAATTTATTGCTTGTGTTTGTTAAAAAAGCACACACATGGGAAAAGGACATTGAAGAAACAATCGTATATTCATGTAACCGCAATATTTTCCCAATTAGTTTATTTTTCAACATCGTTCAGTCCTAGTAAGCCGGAAATGGGTGCAAGATTGTGCAGTGCTTTCTTTGCCTTGTTGCTAAGGGAAGAGGCCTTCCGCACACGATGTACTGTAATTGGCCAGGAGCCTGCCTCATAAGCCAATCAGAGTCCAGCGATTCCTCCGGCAGGTGAAATCAACAGCAATTAGTCATGATGATAATACAAAATAAATAACCCGATCAAAATCCTCTACGTTTTGAATGAAGTGATAAATCAGATGCTATAACCCCGCTTGCTGTTTTTCGCCGCTGTTTACAACAAAACATGTTGAACAATGTCAAGTCCAAGTGATGTTACTGCGCTTGCTACTTTTCAAAATAAGTGCTCTTGCTGGAAGAAATGTTCATGTTGTCGTACCGTTGTGTGGTGTCATGTTTGCTCACTCATCATCAAACATAATCCTAAAAGTCAAATACGGCAAAAGAGACGCAGCTTTGTTATCCTCTGACCATCGCGTTCAAAAAGTCCGCAGACATAGCTTTTGTTTCGAAAGTGCACCGGACGTAAGCGGCGCAGTACGGCGAGGTGTACGTGCGACCGGAGCTGATGGCGGCGGGGCTGGCGGAGGGTCTCACCGAGGAGGCGGGGAAGGCTCCAGGCAGAGCGAGGAGGCCCCGGCGGTACCGACACACCGAACCAGAAGCCCACAGCGAGGACGGATGGAGCGGTACGCGTCTTGTTTATCTTATATGTGGGCACAACGTGTGTTTGTTTGGATGTGGCGTTCATGGACCCCACACGCCATCATGTCTTGGTTGTTTTGCACTGAGTCGAGTGTGAACGCGATAAAGCTGCGAGCTGCCTCCTGTCATGACTTCTTCGAAGGTCAGGGGGCGCTAGTGAGTCTTTGCGCCTTCAGTTGTCATGGCAACTGCAGCAAACGAACACGTGACCGCCAGAGGCAAAATTAACACGGACTGTATGCTACTAAAATAGTTACAAAGAAGCTCGAAGGAGGAGCACTACAATTTTCTAACCTTTACAGAGCCAAGGCACATATCGTAGACTGGAAAGAAAATGTCACACCTTTAGCAACATCACAAAGATATATCTCGAAATAATGATGATGTCTTGTCTCAATTTACTCACAAATGTAATTTCAAACACTCTTCTGAATCTTCATCATCCTGCTTACAAGTTGACATCATGAGACAGAGATGACACTACCAATGATCACAAATGTGCAAAAAGTACTGAAACGTTCAACAGTCATCTACATTCAAAGGTGTAGAGAAGATCCAATGAAGTTCACCTGTAAATGTAAAAGGAAACATAAAGACGTGACAGCTATGCCAAAAAACTGGCAAATACTTTTTCAGAGCATCGTATGTCTTGTGTCTCTGCAGGTGGGATCTCCTCTGGGCTGTCATCTTGTCTCCTCCAGCAGTCGTGTCCCCCTGTATGGCGCTTGAAGAATTTTGCCTGTTAGCGTAACTTGTGACCTCTGTGTTGTCAAAACGCGAACAAGCTGACAACTCAAGACAATTCTCCTCACAGTTAGCACTAGCAATAAGATAGCTGAGTGCTGGGGTCGTAGGGTCAGAATTGACTTGTAGTAATAATCATGGAACGACAAGGATCAGCCAGCAAGTTCAGTGGCTAGCAGGTGGTTAGCACAAGCAGCTAACGGTGGCGCGGGACTAGGGAAGTGGGCGGAGCAGGGGTGCGATGGAGTACCACTCTGGTGGCAGCCTGCCCCTGCTGGGGAGACCGCGCTACTGCCCTGGCACCAACGCTAACGGCGGCTACCTGTGCGAGACGGGACACTGCTGCGGTGAGACAGGCTGCTGCACGTACTACTACGAGCTGTGGTGTGAGTTTTCTGAATCACTCCCTTTGCACCAGTGGCCTATGGAGGGACTTTGTATCTATCTTGTGATGATGATGTCACGTTCAGGGTTCTGGCTCCTGTGGACGGCCCTCATCATGTTCAGCTGCTGTTGCGCGTACCGTCACCGGCGAGCCAAAGTGCAAGCGCAGCAGCAGCAGCGGCGCCAGCGAGAGATCAGCCTGCTGGCCTACCGGGGTACCGCCTCCTACCCGTCCTCCATGTTGGACCTCAGTAAGTCGTTCGCAACTCGTGTGCCTCAGAAGGAGGAGATGCACCTCCGCTGCGGATGTTGACATGTGTGTGACCTGCGTGCAGGTTTCCTGGCATCGCTCAAGCTGCCGTCGTACGAGGAGGTGGCGGCGCAGCCCTCCACGCCGCCGCCCCCCTACAACTCCGTTTTTACGGCGCCGCGCTACCCGCAACCCCCCCGCACTGCCGACCCCCACCTGCTCATGCAGCACGACCCGCTGCTGCACCGCCCGCTCAGCGACGGCCCCTCCTCTCTCAGCTCAGACAACAGGTGCGTAGCCGTGAGCTTTGTCTCCGTTCCACCAATCGAATGGTGCACAGCAGTCACATGACAACACAGAAGATCTCGGGACCCTCACACAGAAGCAACATTTTCAAAGTAAAACCTGGTGAAAACGAGAAAAAAAGAATGGCGAGGTAATCTCTGTCTGGAGAGCCTATTGTGCCGTTTCATGAGTGTCAACAAAGCTCATTTAAGACAGATACCAATTACCATATCAATACCTGAAGTACTTTTGATATAGAAAATTCCGATACCTTTTTTGTGAACGAAGAGCTTTATTTCTGACGCAGATGATGATTTGCCAATGTGTCTGACGTAGTAAAGCACCAGTTACTGCATTGGAGGACTTACTCAATGTCAGATTTTTTTTTTTTCCCTTAAGTATTGGTGGCTGGTATTGTCAACCTCCATGAGTACCCGATACATGTACCTTAAAATATCGGCCAAATAACTATACTTGGTATTGGTACTTGCCCATCCCTACTTGTGGCAGAATTTGACTTCATTTGTAAAGATTGCCTTTATTTGTGTTCCATTTAAAGTGACATTGTTGGGCAATATCCGAATTTGCACATTCCCATTTTATATGGTTTGATTAAAAAAAAAAAAAAAAAAGCCAGAAATTACTCGCCAGTTATTACAGTAGTACTCCTGTGGTTTTTGCTGAATACTTAAGTAATTATTTGGAGGATTACATCTTACACTTACTTGAGTCCTGTTATGCTAAATTATGAGTACTGCCATTTGAGTAGAGGTTGTGGCTACTCAACCCACCGCTGCCTATTTGCTTTGTCGCTTTGGCTTCCCTGTCCACGTGTCGATAAAATCCAACATGTCATATGTTGTTGCTGTTTCTTTTGTCATTTTTGTTCTGTCCAAGTGGATTTCCAAGAAATATCCATCATAACACAGATAGCCGCACAGGGAGTGTATTGTTTTGTTGCGGCTTAAAAAGGCATCCGGATCCACCGTACTGCATTACCGAGTCACCGAAGAGGACGGCTTAAAACAACAAACCTGCTATTTTTCTTTCCTGCCGGATCCACCGTACTGCATTACCGAGTCACCGAAGGACGGCTTAAAACAACAAACCTGCTCTTTTTCTTTCCTCTTTTTTTTCCTGCAGCTCCAGCTGCTCCTGTGACTCCTGCTGCCCCTCCTCTCTGTGTAGCTCCTCCCCCTCTGCGCCCCTGACCTATGAAACGGACACAAGTCACGCCTCCACGCCCAGCGAGGTGGCAGCCCTCCCCTTCGATGTCGCCATAGAAACCCCCCCACAGGCTCCTCTCTCCCCTGCCCCCGACACCACACCTGCCCTCGCCGACACGGCCACCGCCTCAAAAACCAGCTCGCCGCTGCCCACCAGTCCTCCCGCTAACCCCGTCCCAACTCCACTCGTGGACCCGGATTCCGCCCCCGAGAAGTCGGGGTCGGCTGGGTCCAGCGGGTGCACGGCCCCCTCTGCCCTGGCCCCTCCCTCCACCTCTTTCCTCCTGGACGCACCACTACCGACCCGGCCCGCTCAGGCCCCACCCAAGCAGACGCTCTTCTCGCCGTGCGTGGATGTCTTTCCAGCAGAGCCGGAGGAGGAGGCGAACGAAGACGACGTAGACGCCGACGAGAGCCAGTACCGTCACCGAAGACTGACCGGCGACTCGGGCATCGAGGTGTGCCGCTGCCGTGTCCAGGGCCAGGAGGCGCAGGAGGAGGATGCCGAGCCAGAGAGCGGCAGTGAGGGAAAGAACTCTGATCTCCACGACAGCGTGGACTGTCCCTCCAAGTGCGCCGCCACACCTTGCCACCCCCGCGAGGAGGCGGGCGATGTCGTGATCGTCGTGGAGACAGCGTGATGGACAGATGCGGTCGTCATTGCAGATGATTGACAGGCCTGCCTTGAGCTCCCAATAGACGGAACGCTCCAGCCATCCATTTTCATTTCAAATGTAGACACTTCCCTTTTGAGGAGTAGACACTTCCTCTTTGACATGGACATCACCTGATTGACACGGCAACTTCCTGATTGGACAGAGGGGCGTCGTGTTTGACACAGATGCGTTCTGATTGGACCTGTGTTTTTCCATTTGGCCTTTTACTTACATATCCTAATTAGAAGTGGCTCCACGTCATTGGACAATTCATGTTTGGATGTGGAGATGTTCTATGTGACATGGATGCGTCCTAATTGGACATGGGTTTTTGCCGTGTTGGACAAGTCCACTTCCAACTGGACTTGGACACTTCCAGAAGGGACATGGACATTTTGAAGGTTGACACATCCTGTTTGACGTGTACACTGAGGAATCTGAACTTGCACTACCTGATAGGACACGGATACTTCCTGTTGAATGTCAACGCATACTCCTGACGTATGCTCATGGACACTTTCTGTTTGGACGTGGAGAACTCCGGATTGTACCTCTACACTTCCTGATTGGAAATGTCCACTTCCTGATAGGTCATATACAACTTCTGATTGGTCATGCACACTTCCTCAACGGACTTTGACACTTCCTGATTTGACATGAACTCTTACTTATTGGAAATGGACACTTCATGTTGTACCGTTGACTTGACAGACAGGTGAGTGGAAGATGAGGCTCCACTCCATCCCTCCTTTGTGTGCTAGATGTGGTGCTTTTCTTCTTTAGCTGAGGGACTGCAGCTGCAGAGCACCCTCTGTGGTGGATTACTGTTACTACAGCTAGCCAAGTTTGTAGCTCTTCTTCTTCTTCTTGCTCCTTTTGTCGCTTTTGACTGTAGTCACAACACCCAAGTTGAATGTAAGTACGTCAACACAGTGCTTGCCAGATGCTAACTACCTAGGAGCTCAGCGCTAATCACCAGTAGCGCCCAGTTTGTCACCTTAAAAAAAATTATGGTTGCAAGCAAGAGGTTTTAAAGAGGCACTTAATTTTTGTAAAGCCATTAAAACTGATGTGTTGGGGTGTGGTGGTAGGGGGAGGTGGCTTCTAAATTGCAGTACATTACTTGCGTCTGGTTTACAACTTTTACGCGTCGACGGGTTTAGTTTTTCTCTGCTCGTCGTTACTTCCTGTTTGTGTCGTGATGAGGCGTTAATGAGGCCAAGTCTTCTAATTCCGATGATCTTGAATATGTGTTTTGGTGTGTGAGCTGTGCTAAATAAACGGATCACGTGTACAACGCTATTGTTTATTGAAGCACTGTCATTTCGGATCATGAATGAAAAAAAAAGATGACATTTTCATAAGCAATTGGTTAGTTAACGTGAGTGCTAACTTCCCACCCCGCCCTTGGCCTGACGGCAACCTTATAAGGCAGTGGCTGCAATACTACGCCGAGACGACCCTGCAGGTTGGGAGGAGTAGCCCCGCCCGGCAGCATAAAGCTCATTCGCTGGAGCATGGAGGACAAGAAGAGGAAGAGCTCCATCCTAGCGAGCGATTCGCCCACACAGATGCGAGGCCCCGCCCCAAACGGCAGGAAGCAGGAGGGTGTGACTCTCTGACCCTGGTCATCAAGGAAGCGATCTGGAAACGTTTTATGACAAGGTTCACTTTTTGATCCCCTATTTGGCGTGCTGGGCCGGGTTACCTGGCTTGAACAGATCCGGTTGGTCCCAGTGGTCGGGGTCGTGATGGATGGCCCACATGTTGACCAACACGCGAGTCCCACGGCAGATGGCGTGACCTCCGATGCTGTGGTGAGAAACTGATGTTAGCCCACACGTGCACACTACGCCCTTGATTTTTTTTAGTGTACCTGCTGTCCGACATGGCGATGTGCGGAATCAGCACCGGGCTCACCGGCCGGATCCGCATCCCCTCGTTGATGATGCTATCCAGATACGGGAGCCTCCCGCGGTCCGCCGCACGCACAGCTCGTTCGCCCACTTCCTCATCGAGTTCCCTCTGTGCTTTTTCCTGGACCTGCAGGAGGTGCCTCGCATCTTCAGTCATCAAATGTGGTGTCTGACTGAAAACGCGTGTCAGCCTCCACCTCGGGATGGTGCAGTAGATAGGCCAGGACCCAAAGCAGCGTGGTGGATGTCGTCTCCACACCTGCGCCGAAGGCCTCCGCCGCCGTCATCAGCACATGGTCGTCTGTGATCACCGTCCCGTCGGGCCCGGGTGACCCTTGACCCTTCAGCAAGGCGTCCAGGAGATCTCGCGGGTCACCTTCGCTCAGCGTCGCCTGGAGGCGAGACTTTGCTCAGTGGCAGGTTGCCACCAAGGAGAAGCCGATGCCTTCTCCTCACATCTTTCACCTTGTGTTCGTGCAGTTTTTGTGTGAGGAGGCAGTCTCGTACGCGGATGCACGCCCGTAGCTTGCTTAGCGACTCGTTGGGGAACACCTGAGTAGCAGCAGAAGCTTGTGAGGTGGGGGGAGTTACACCAATCGGTAGTCTTGTACCTTCATCCAGGAGAAGATGTCGACCAGTCCTCCCCTGGTGATAGTCTGCACAATGCCGTCATTGTAGCGCATCACCTCCTGCAGCTCTCCGTCGCCATGTTTGTAGGTGGTGCCGAACACCAGCGTGCACACCACATTGGTGACGGCCGTGGTTACTGCGAGTGACGGGTCAAAGCCCCGCCCATTGCTGGACAGCAGCTCTGCGCACAAACCGTCCACCTCGGACAGAACTGACAAAATGTCATCGCCGTAAGCCAGGAGGCCCGTGGAACCTCAGATCACAAACGTAACTTGTTCCAAAACATGTTTTCATCATTAAAATGAACGGAAAAAGACTTACTCTGTTCTCAGTTACACAACCAAAGCAATATTTGTCTGAAAATTTTGCTCATGAACGGGTGCATTCGTGATCCGAGGTTCCACTCGACCTACCGATATCCTGCAGGCGGCTGCTTCCTTCTCCGAACAGAGCGAAGGACGAGTGCACCAGGCGGCGATGCAGCTTCCACAGCGGCGAGTAGTCCGAGAAGGCAATGTCTTTCCCGCCACGGGTCAGCAGATCGGTGGTCACCTGCTGGACGTAACGACAGTTGACGTGTGGCACAAAAAGGACGCCCTCAACGGCTTCACGGAGCATCACCATGCTGGGTCGCCCGGCGAAGTCTCGCCCTCGCTGCAGCAAAACTTCTCTGGCATGGTCGTGGTCGTTGACCACCACGGTGCGATGCGGCCCCAGGTAGAGCTCGAACAACGGCCCGTACCTGGTACACATGCACAAGCTTTAGTGAGCCGCTTGAGTCCGTGCCGGTCCACAGGTTCAAGGTCTCACTTTCGCCCAAACTTCATGAAGAGCAGGTGTGGGGGTGTGGTCCCCGTCATCCAAGGCAGACTGCCCACGACGGGCAGCCGGGGCAGGCCGGGCATCCCGCTGGAGCGCTGACCAAGCGCCGCCAGGATGGCGAGCGCGGCGAGGACGAGGAGGACCGTGAGGAGCGGCGAGACGGTCACGGGAAAAACATAGGTCGCCATGGCGAGGAAATGAAGACAAAGGCCGAGTGGCTCGTCTTTTAAAGTCTGACGGCTGGAGAGACCTTGCGCCGGTTGGAGGCCGCGTACATGTGTTTGTCTGCGTCAGGCGACCTTGCTGATATCACGGTGCATACCAATCCAAAGCAGGACCAATGTTGATCATTGGATGCCATGATAAACACACCCCAGGGCTCAGATTGGTTGCCATTGAAACGCCAGCCACTAGGGGGGGGCTGCCGAGCATGTTGGCATCTTTGATTTTTCAACTTGTGTGAATGTCCTCCTGTCGCCATGGAAACCACATCCCATCCTCTGCGGCAAAACTGAATGTTGTGTGTTTGTCCGACGCTGTTGTTGTTTACACCCAACATGCGGATTTTCATTCAAACAGGTGTCGGCATGGAAGCAACACCACACACACACACACACACACACACACACACACACACACACTTGGTGGATGTGACTGCAGCGGGTGTGAGATGCGCTGCCGCAGTGAGGAAAGCCCGCCGCTCCTTTTATGGCGTGGGGATGCCCGCCGTCACCGCAGGAAGTCGGCCATGTTTGGGCATTCTTGACATGCACGGTGGGGGGAATCCCTCGCGCCGCTCTCCGCCAATGAGGCAGTGCCAGCATTGCCACGGAAACGGAGGGTATAAAAGGGCCGGCGAGCACAGGATCTCGGCATCCTCGGCACCGAGTGAGCGCAGCGACCCAAACTCCGGACGCATCATCCCGCCCGAAAAACCGGACAGACGGAATTCCCACCTCTCTTTTGACCGCCATGCTTGCCGAGCGTCACTGCAGCTTCCTGTCCGACTTTGAGGATGCGTGCAGCGCTTGGGTGAACAGCGTGGAGTCTAACCACTGCGATGTCAATGAAACCGACCTAACAGGTGAGTTGTCGAAGCATCATCATCGTCATCATCATCATCATCATCATCATCATCATCATCATCATCATCATCATCATCATCATTATCATCTTCTTGTTGCTTGCGTGCTGATGTCATCGTGCTGTTATGCAATAATAACAAATCCCCCCCTCCTCACTTCTTCTGTTGCTCTCCAGTTGTCTCGCCAGGAACTGACGCCTCCGACTCAGATTTCTTCTCTGACTTCAGCGACTCGGACTCGCTCTCACCCTCCCTCGACTTCAGCGGCAGTTTCCTGGCTGAACCGACTGCACCAGCGACCGTGGGCCTGAGCAGCACAGCGGATGCCATCCTCAACATGATCACGGAGATTGTGGGAATCTGCACCGAAATGGAACAGCAGGGGGACACCGGTTCTCCTCCTTTGGCTACAGTCAAAAATGAGTCGTCCGGCTCCAGCTGTGGGGCCGACTACCTCGCAACACCGGCCGCTCCGGACTTCATTGAGGCTCTGCTGAGCCAAGACGGCGGCCAGGGTGAGATGAAGGCCTTGGGGGTCAAGCAGGAAGTGGTAGCGTCGGAGGACTGGCTGAAGAACTGGAATGTCGGCACTGAAGGAGACCATGTCAAAATGGAGGTGGACATCCCCTCCACCCTGGACCCCGACCTCCTATCGTCCCTCCTGCACGGCGCCTTCCCGACCGCGCACCTCAGCAGCGTGCCAACGGGCGCTAAAGTGTCCCGAAAGGGCCGGAGAGTTCTCGCCAAAAGCGGCGTGAAGGCCAAGGCGTTCCCGTGCTCCGTGGAGGGTTGTGAGCGACGCTTCTCACGCTCGGATGAACTCAACAGGCACGTGCGGGTCCACACAGGACAGAAACCCTTCCAGTGCGCTGTGTGTGCGAGGAGCTTCAGCCGTAGCGACCACCTGACCACGCACACGCGCACACACACGGGCGAGAAGCCCTTCTCTTGCGACGTGTGCGGCAAACGCTTTGCACGCAGCGATGAGAGAAAGCGGCACAGCCGCGTGCACGTCAAGCAGCAGCTGCGAGCGCAGATGATGGCCGCCTATTCGCTGGCTGTGAGCGCCGTGTGAGGGCGGCATCTTGCGGTGTGTGCCATGGCGGTGGGTTTGGCAAAAACTTCAGGTGTTCTGACAACACGCACGCGGGCCCAGCAGTTGCATGCTGGGAGTCAGACGCTTGGATGAGACCAATCAACTTTCCTGCATGAGGGTGAAAAGTGACGTGACCTCCATGTTTGTACGATAGCTCTATTTTTCTAGATGTTTCTATGACTTATCATGTGAATTTGACTTGGAGTGATGCATTTTGGGATATGTGCATAATGTCCCTGCTTGAGGATGCTTCAATAAAAAAAAGCAAGAAACTGCAGGATGAAATCCAATGTGCTTCCATATCAATATCATCATCAACTGTCAGTGTGTGTGTGTCTGCATGTGTGTGGGAACTGGGAAGTTAAAGTCGTCATGGCAACTGAAGTTGTGTGAGTCATCTCGACACTGTTCCATACACAAGGTCGCTGTGGCATCGGGGAGGCATCGCCATGGCGACAACGCATAACATCAAGGTCAGCCAATGGTGATTTTATAACAACAACAGTTAGTCATGTGATGCGGAAGGTCCTACAGGTAGCATCATCTTCGTCCAGAAGGGGGCCTGGAGTCAATCAAGTAATGCAACAACGTTCTGTAAAAAAAACAAAAAAAACGTGTGTTTTACATATACAGTATATATATATA